GTGACATTTTGCTGGGGTTGTGTAACTTTTGTTTTAAAAACTGAACTTACCCACGGATCCTGATGACAAATGCCAATTTGGGTTCTGCAGGTACATAAAAGTTGCCTGCTTTTCTTGCCATCCTAGCCATTCGAATCTCAGTTCTGTACATCTGCCTGTATTCCTTGTGATAATGCTTAGCTTTTTCATAGATAAGCTTCCTCCTTGCCTTTCGAAGCTGAAAACCAAATTACAAGATTTTTAGCTACTAAACACAATTAGCAATACCAGCCATTCAAACAAAACAAACCAAAACCTTCCTTTGAAACCTTTTTCTTGCCAGAACACACAGTAACATTCCAAAAGGTAGACAGTGCCTCTACTTGAGAATGCCACGTTAGGGAGCTAACCAACTGCTTGGTACAGTAGTAAATGAAGTTATGTTTTGCCAAGAACATCCACCTCATTCTCAATCTCAATCACAATGCGTCTTCTGACGTGGTAAATGCCTCAAAACAGTTTACTCACCATCTTTTGGGCAAACTTCTTTCTCAGGCGTTTGATCTTCAGCTCCGCGAAATTTCTTCGCTTTTTCTTAAGGGTTTCTGGCACAGCAGGAACCTTCTTTTTCTTCTCTCTAGTATTAACAAACGGAGAACGTCAACAGCTCAAAAAACTCACGCTGCTGTATTAGTCCCAAAGTACTGAGTACTTCGGTGTTTAACAGAACGACTGTCACTGGCTCTAACCACCTAGGTATCTTTTAGTTGCTCTGGCATGCTACGGTGTAGAATGCAGATTTTAGAATCTCTCCATGCAATAACTTTATCCTTTAACAAGGACTATTTTACTTAAAAGCCACCACATGGGACAAAACAATAAACTCATACCAATTTCATCATCAGCCCCGGCCTCCGACGACGACTAACAAAAATCCACAGCAAATAACAACACGTGCTAAACTGAAAGACTGTGCTGGCACCGATCCTCAGTATTTAGGGAAAAAAGGTTAGGATTCTCTTTCAAAAAGCCACCGCCACCATGGATCAAGTCTCAAGCTCCACATGCTGAAAGCAAAGGCAAGACGGCAGGCACGCCTGGGCCTATTTGCAACCAAGGGCGAACCCAACTCAAGACGTTCTGCGCCTTCCTGGAAAGACCCTCCACGGAGGACTGGACCTTCACCCAGCCGGCCGGTTCCGCACATACTCCGCCCTCGCGTCTCATTCCGGGACTCTCCAAGACCTCCGCCAGAAGGCCGCCTGCCTCTCAAACTAGCTTGGGGGGGTCCCCCTGGTGTCACGAGCGTCATAAACACACAAGCAAGCGGGCCATGGTGCAAGCCACAGTCAGATGGGGAGAAAGAGAGACAAAACGTCTCTGGTTCCGACGATGGGGAAGGATTCTCAAGAAGACGAGAAACAACTTACTCTGCGCCCTCCATGGTTCCAGCCGGAAAAGAGGAAGTTGGCGCATGCGCATTGCCCACTTAAAGACTGAGCGGGAAGCCCCACGATTCATAGGCGTCCTAGGATAAGCCAGAAAATAATCCAGAACTGAAAACCCGCCCAGCAAACGCAAAATTAAGACCTGCCTAGTTTATCCTCTTCCAATAGCTTTCAGGTAAAATTCGTATGAGAAAAACATATGCATTTAATTAGACGTTTTAATCAATTCAAGAGCAAAGAGTGCTGACACCTTGACTACTCGGGGTCCTAATCCCCAGGCTGCGGTAACAAGATTAGGCTCGAGTTCCTCCCTATAATGCACTGAGTGACACGCCTCATGGGTACGAACTACAAATCCGGCAGGCACCACTTCGCCGGCGGAGGCACCGCCTGACCGGGACTGTAGGCAGCCCACTGCGGTGGTTGTTCCAGCCAGGAAAATGGAGCCTTTTGGGCCACGTTCCAAACGGATAGCTGCAATTCGAAGTCACTTTTAGCCGCCTTCCCGCTCTCTGCCAACCGTAGTCGCAGACTCCGGCGCCCCCTTTGCCGCGCTGCCGAGGTCCTCGTCGTCGTTCCCCCAGCCTCCAGGGCTGTCTTTCCGCAGCGCCTGATCGCAGGCAGCGCCGTCCGGAGTGCCTTGGCTAACGAAAGTGGCGAGACGGACCAGCGAGGACGGACGGCGGAGGGGGATGGCCGGGGCTCTGTCGGACCACCGGGATCGGCAGGCGAAGGCCGGGACACCCTATGGCAGGGGGCGTGAGCGCGAGGGAGGTGCGACGAGGGCTGAGGCTGTGGCCACGGCCATGTGAGAGGGGCTGCCCCGCGCGCTCCGAGGACGGCTGGCGGCGGTGGGCCGGGCGGGGTGCGCCCGGGCGGGAGGGCCGAGCGAGGGAGGCCGATGCCGATGCCGCCGCGGCTCTTCCCGTCGCGGGTTATATAGCGCGGAGCGTGGAGCCCGCTCAGAGCCGGCCGGGAGCGCTCCGACTTGCAAGCGGCGCTGCGCTGCAGAGCCGGGCACCCGAGTGACAGCCGCGGGAGTGCAGGGCAGGGGGACACGAGACCGCGGAGGCAGCTGCAAGCCGTTGGGCAGCGCTCGCCTGCGCCGGCGAGTCGCCCCTTCCCGGCCATCCGCTGCCCCGCCCCACTCTCCCACCCTTTCGCAACTTGGTCAAGTTGACAACTCCCGCGGCGGCCGGCCGGCCAGTGCGGTCCTCGCCGCGCACCTCCCGGGTGAGAGGAGGCCGTCGCGCCGGCTCCGGGCGCGCTCGGCGGGCGCAGCTTGGCCATGGAGGGCAGCGCGCGTCGCCTAACTCGCGGCTGTCACGCCACTGCGGCGGGACCGCCGCCGGGCGCTGCGGACGGGCGGCCGCCGGCAAGGACGCCGAGCCGCGGCGCCGCTGCAGCACAGCCCGGGCACCGCGCGGAGCCCGGGCGGGAGTGCCCCGCGCAGGCAGGAGCGGCGCCGCGCACTCCAGCCCGGCGGGCACTCGGGGGCGGGCGCGGGGCGCAGCACTTCTCGTCCGGTGCTCTTGACAGAGCGCCGGGGGCGGAGGCAGGCGCCCGCGGCGCGGGTGGCGCGACGGGGCGCTGGGCTCGCGCGAGGCCCGGCGCCGCGATGAACATCGTGGTGGAGTTCTTCGTGGTTCACTTTCAAAGTGCTCTGGGCGTCCGTGCTGGTTGCTGCGCGCGCTGCTGGTGGCCCAAGGAGAAGGGTTGGCGGCAGGTGTGCTCATCACGTGGCGCCGGAGCGGCCTGGCCGCCTCTTCGCGCTCGGTTCGCCGCGCCGGGCGCTTGCTGTGCTCTGGGACATCAACACGCAGCAGCCAACGAGGAGACGGCGAGGCATGGTTGCGCCAACTCTACCGCGACCTGGAGGCGGCCGACGCCGCGCGCTGCAAGGTAACTCGAACCGCGCCCCAGCATTGTTGGTCGAGCCGTGTCCACCCCGGCCCACCCTTGGAGGCCCCCAAACCCACTGCCGTGTGTCGCCCGGCTCTCGAGGAAAGAAACCCCAACCAGTCTTTGAGGCGAGTGGAATTTACTCTCCGATAAGGAGCATGATCACCCTCTGTCTTAGAAGGGGAAAGGGTGCGGACCCAGTCCTAACGGGGTCCTGTCTCTGGGGACGACTGTGAGGGTTTTCCAAAGGGCCTCCGAGAGCACGGGAGACGAATTGTTACGCAGTTTGAGTCCCAAAGAATGTCTCACTCCCGACTGGAGAAGCGGCGCGATGGGAAACTAAAGTGTCTTTTGGGGAAGTTGTTCTCTCAGACTCCACTGAGAGTGTATCTATCTGTGTTACCGTGGTCTGAACACTTAGAACTAGGGCCCAGTATTGATGATTTCACGGTAACTTTAGCCAGGTATAATTAATTTTTCACCAGCTTTGTTACATTCTCTGAGCTGATTAGAGACATCGCCCTGACTATTGAAGAGAAAGCGCTGCGGGATTAAAGCTTTATTGTAGATTTTTTGCGATGGTTTTTGGTCATCCCAGTAACCTGCATTTCTGATTACTTACTATTAACCTGAATCTTGAAGCCAAAAAAAAAAACCAAAGCAGATCCTTACCAATATAAATTCTGCCCGAAATTGAGATGGCTGTTGCTTTTTGAAGATTTTTCATTTCCAGGTGAAAACACTGAACTATAGAGAATATTGACTTGGACACCATTCTCCCGACATGGATCATTTGTCACCAATTATGGCACCTGCCTTTTTGATTTAAGTTGAAAATGTTCAATTTTCAGGGCTAATATGGAGCGGTAAATATAACAGATTTTTCTTGCTCTCTGCCCAAGCCCAAAAGATAAGGAGTATTCGTTTCCAGGGAAGGATTTTGGGTTTTTTAATCATTGAGTTCGATATGTTGGTAAGATTGTATAATTACCGTAAACTTTGATTGTGAAGCCACTCTTTAGGGGATTCAGGCCACCCCTAGTTAGAACAAGGACCTTGTTCATGGGAAATTTAGATCATTTCTTGGCTTTGTATGAATTCAGATTTATTAATTACAGTTTTGATTTGTGACCTTTGAGTAGTTCCATTTTGAGGGTCGATCATAAAAGATTTAAAGCTGTTTCTGGCCACTGTTTCCAAATAGAGGACTGTATTGATAGTGTTGTGTCTATTCCTCTGGTGTGAGTCAGTTCTTTGCAGGTGGTCTTGCTCAGCAAGCTGATCCCATGGGTGGTCTACTTGTGTTGGACTTGTACAAATTACATGACTTCCCCTAGCAAGTTTATCATATGTGGTATTCCCAAGACTTTAGGGGAGGAAGGCAGTGTAAAAGTTCAGTCATGGCAGCCTTACAGTTGTTAGAAATTTGAAGCTCACTGTTAGTGTATTTTGTTTTGTGTGAGTCTTGTCTGTTGATTGCCATGTGAATCACTTTCTGCACTCCCTTCTATGTTCCATTTTTCTCCTCATCTGGACTCTGCAGGAAGCTGGAATGGTGAGGAAGAAATTCTCGCCCACTGATACTGCAGGCTTTTACTTAACCTGTGATTGTGGGAAGGAGGGAGAAGTTACCTGACAGCTGAAAGAGTCCGCAGAGGTTGGCGGTCTCGGTCAACTGGGTCAATAATGCTGGTTGGTCTTGGGCATACCTTCGCAATGGTCCTGATGAGCCTCATTGAGGAGACCATGATGGTCAATTGCATGGCAATTCTGGGTAAATATGTACATCCTGTTTTCTGCTGGGTCCTTCGCAGTGAGAGGTTGGAAGGAGAAGAGTTCAGTGCAGCTCTGAAGCCACCTGACACTCTTTCCCACAAGTCTCCTAATTGCTATTCCCCCATGTGATTATAGTGTATGCTGGTTACTATTAAAAGTAGTTGTTTTTGTAACCCCCAACCCAGGCCCCCATTCAGTATTTCGTTGAGGGGTGAGGATTGACTTTGAACTGTAGTTTGAAAGATTGCCATAAAATACAAGAGGGAGCATAATAACTCTGGTTTGTTTTTACTTTCTGGAGTTTAAAACATGTTGTTTCTTATGAAATTCCAAGTCGGGTAGGCTCCAATATACTGCTCATGACCAACATTTGGAAAGTGCTAAATGATTCGAATCAGCAATCTGGGGTCACTGTGGGTGGTCAGGCCACCCTGGCAGTCACTTAACAGTCCTCTGACCATTCCCCAGGGTCCATGGGCATTGATGCCAGTTTTGAGGACATCTCAGGACTTTCTCAGGTTAGAAGGTGTTCTCAAATGAGAACAGAAGTCACCCTGGATAGGATCCCAGAGGGGAAAGCAGGGACATCTGCGGGAAGCCCCACGATTCATAGGCGTCCTAGGATAAGCCAGAAAATAATCCAGAACTGAAAACCCGCCCAGCAAACGCAAAATTAAGACCTGCCTAGTTTATCCTCTTCCAATAGCTTTCAGGTAAAATTCGTATGAGAAAAACATATGCATTTAATTAGACGTTTTAATCAATTCAAGAGCAAAGAGTGCTGACACCTTGACTACTCGGGGTCCTAATCCCCAGGCTGCGGTAACAAGATTAGGCTCGAGTTCCTCCCTATAATGCACTGAGGTGACACGCCTCATGGGTACGAACTACAAATCCCGGCAGGCACCACTTCGCCGGCTGGAGGGCACCGCCTGACCGGGACTGTAGGCAGCCACTGCGGTGGTTGTTCCAGCCAGGAAAATGGGAGCCTTTTGGGCCACGTTCCAAACGGAAAGCTGCAATTCGAAGTCACTTTTAGCCGCCTTCCCGGCTCTCTGCCAACCGTAGTCGCAGACTCCGGCGCCCCCTTTGCCGCGCTGCCGAGGTCCTCGTCGTCGTTCCCCCAGCCTCCAGGGCTGTCTTCCGCAGCGCCTGATCGCAGGCAGCGCCGTCCGGAGTGCCTTGGCTAACGAAAGTGGCGAGACGGGGACCAGCGAGGACCGGACGGCCGGAGGGGGATGGCCGGGGCTCTGTCGACCACCGGGATCGGCAGGCGAAGGCCGGGACACCCTATGGCAGGGGGCGTGAGCCGCGAAGGGAGGTGCGACGAGGGCTGGAGGCTGTGGCCACGGCCATGTGAGAGGGGCTGCCCCGCGCGGCTCCGAGGACGGCTGGCGGGCGGGGGG